TTGCATATTCACATCTGTTCCCTATATGAGTCGTTTTGGGGTCTTACAATTCTGAATATTGCCTGGAACTGGGAGGGCCACCTCCCTGACCTGGGTCAAAGGGCAGTGTGCCAATTAGTGTGTCTTACTGTAAATACAGGAAGGGAGGGAGTGTGCCTGCCTGTGACTGTCACAAGAGCACAGGCAGGTGTGGCTCTCCCCTCCTGAAACACATGGGTATGAAGGCAAATGTGGAACATATATCTGCGTAGATATTAGCAGCCATTCCTGTAGCAAATGTGTCTGGAGGAGGAACTGTCAGGATGTGCGTGGTTCAGACTTACCTACACATCACCATCGTCTTTTTTGACGTGATTATACAAACCTGACTTCCCACTCTGTGGAGCCTTGCCTCTGCTCCATCATGACCCCATCCACACAGGGACTGTCAAAGCTATCACATTTTGTTGCTCCCTGGATGTGTAATGATGTCTCAGTGGGATTCCAAAGTTCACTTTCTTGGATACTAAAGTAACTGAAAACCTTTCCATAGGTCTAGCAACCTCTTTTCAGAAGCGCTGCTCATTTCTGTACTGGATTGTTCATTCTGTGTGTTTCAGGACACCAGGGAACTCAAAGCCAGTGTGAGGGACAAATCAGCAAGGGACACAGAGAGCTCCAGCACAGCCCCGACCCAGACAGACACATCTTCCCGTGGTGGGCAGATGGTGGGAAGATCTTTCCTCTTGTCCTCTCTACCACAGCTGCCTGAGCCTCGTGAACACGAGTGAATCATGTATGAGGTCAGCCAACGAGCTTTAACCACCCTCCGGAGGACAGGCAGGCCTCCCTTCTCCCTGGTATTCAGGGTGGCACCCAATATGAAGTGGACCGTCTTCACCTAGAGATGCCCTTCCCCTGGTACAAAGTTGTTCTGAGATCCATCCCCCTCCCTCCCAGGAGCTGAGGAATCGAAGCAGCTGTCCTTCCTGCTCTGCCAACAGAACTGAGGTATCTAGGACTGCTTCAGACCTGGACAGCCACCTCCCGGCCTCAGTGAGTCCAGGTCGAAACAGTGTGTGCCAAACAGCATGTCCTGCACTGTAAACACAGGAAGGGAGGGGGTGTCTGACTGTGACTGGCACAGGCAGGCACAGCCACTCCCACCCCCGGAGCTCTCTACCCGAGCACATGGGTGTGTCAGTGAGGGCACGTCCTCAGGAAGCTGGGCTGCTCCAGCAGCGTGGCGTTCTTCAGGTGAGCCCTGGTGGTTATCTATCATCCTCAGAGCTGGTGGCAAAGTCCTCTGCCCTACTCTGAGACAGGGCATGCGCTCAGAGACCACACACCCCGAATGGGACAGTTACATGAGAAAAACGTTCAGCTCAAGTCCCAGTGCAAACTTTTTGTTTTGCTTTGTTTTAAGATAGGCTCTCATATGTAGCCCTGGCTGGCTTGGAACTCCTCATGTACACCAGGCTGACCACAAACTCATGGAGACCCACTTGTCTCTGCCTGTGCCCCCCCACCCCCATGCCCAGCTCAGTGACACTTGCTTCACATTGTGTCTCTCTCCTGCTCCCTCCATGGGGAAGCCCTGGGGACCTTCCCATAATTCTGCGGGTCTCTTGCCCTCCTCCCGTACCCCCAGCTCCTCAGGCTTCACTACAAACATGGCCGACACTAAGGGCTGAGAAGATGATAGAGGGGAAGAATTGGTACCTGTGCCTAGTGTTTGTCCAGCGGAGTCAAGGGAAAGAAGCAATGAATCTGCAACACAAGAGGACAAGTTCATGTCTTTCTTCTTTAGTCAGACGAGTGCCTGCTGGCTCCACCCAAACCCTGTGGCAGGCTTAAAGCACTAACCCCTCCCCTTTGGCCGCTCCCTTTCTTATATTCATATGCATGTTTGTTTACTATTCCCAACTCCCCCCCCAATAAACCCCTGAAAGTAGTAAACAATAATTTATAGCATATGCTAGAATAATAAAGTGAAGATGTCAAAGAAAGGGAAGCTATTACATGGTGGGGAAGCTGTTAGTGCGCAAAGCACATGCCACCAGGGCCTTTGCAAACACGCAGGCAGAATCAAGGCGGGTGTGAGCGCTGAAGCGGCCGAAGCGAAGGAAGAGAACAGCTCTGGGATTCAGTGCCCGAAATGCATCCTTCCATTCAGTCACACGGTTGGGAGATGTTTGCTGGACATCTACTGTACCAGGACAGCATGACACAGTAGTCAGCAATAACCACAACCATACGCGATCTCCACTCTTGGGGCTCCACTCTCGAGGGCCTCCTTGTCTTACATCTTGGAAAGAGAAGTTATCAGAGAACAAATTACTTAGCTAGACCCTGATAAAAATAAAGCTAAGAAGAGACTGCTGCTTGTTTTAGGGATTGGCCTGAGGGTGCTGGACAGGAGGGCTTCCTTGGAGAAGTTGGCCCTTGGGCTGTGTGTGAAGGATGTTGAGGGTTAAAGTCCACAAGAATGGAACAAGCATCCCAGGCAGAGAGAAGGCCTCACATAGAGACCTGAAGGAAGAGGGGACCAGGTGTTTCTGAGCAACTTAAAGACCAAAATTCAAGTAAATGCTGTATGTTTTCCTTGCTGTGAGTCTTAACAAAGAGGGGACCAAGCGATGCTGATGGTGTTTCTCCTTCAATATTTCCTGAGTTTGTAGTTGGGAATCTGGTATGGCTGTCTCTTAACATATGACCCAACCTCAAATGGTGCTATAAAGCCAATGTACAGTTCAACAATTACATGGTGAGGGTTACCAAGACTTAAGAGATCAAATCTAAAAGACTTACTCACTGCAGAATGCTAGCCAGACACATACTGGACAGGTGTGTACAGCCACAGCATCTTCCAGATCTCACTACACATGGAAATTCAACATTATCATAACTCTAAACAACAGGGTTCCGATGCTAGCACATAAACCCAATAAAAGCAGCCACGGCAGCTGCTCATTCAAGGCTGTGTCTGGAGAACCACTGTGGAATTAGTTTCTAGAGAAATGCCTGGACAACAAACCCTTCAGGCAGTCCTTCAGAGATATGTTTAGTAAGAACTGTGGGACAGTGAGCTGGGAATGTGGCTCCCGAGAGGACCCAAAGGCAAGCATCCTGCATCACCAGGTAAGGCCAGATTGATCGAGTGCTTTGAAATGCAAAGGCAGGGCAGCCTGCTCTTTACAGAAATACAGATGTGCCATCAGGCCCCTTGATGAACAGCTGGCCATCCCACCTGCATAAGCAGTGTTCCACTCAAGAGTTCTACTCCTTTATCAGCATGTTTCGGGTCTGTTTCTTCTCAGGTATGTTCCTCCTTTTAAAACTGCAGCCAAGGTGAGAAGGAGAGAGAGGAAGATCCTCTGAGGAGCTGACTGCCCAGGTGAGCAGCACTTTTTAAAGACAGCTCAAGAGCTAGGCAGATGGCTCAGTAAATAAAACACTTGCTATTCACGTGTGAGGAGTGGCGTGTCGAGCCCCAGAACCCCTGTAAAAAAGGAGGTGGATGTAATGCCCGCCGCCAGGATCCCAGAGCTCAGGAGGAAGGATTCCCAGGGCAAGCCAGTGGCTAGACTAACTAACTCAGTGAGCTCAGAGCTCAGCACAAGACCCTGTGTCGGAAGATAAAGTGGAGAACAAGGAAGATACCCAGTGTCAACCTCTGGCCTGCACATATGAATGCAGGCCAGTGCACATGCGCACACTCACACACACACACACACAAATTTTAAGTACCTAATTTTTCACTGCTGTTGATATATTTTTCCAATTATACTTTCATTGTACTCATAAGCAATCCTGATTTAATCTTTTTTTTGAAACCTTTCCATCTAAACATAAAAAAAAAACCAAAAACAACTGAACCTTAGCTAAATATCTGAAGAACAGTAACCGTTGACAGAGACTGCCTCTGGCGGCAGGCTTTACAAAATGTCTGCACTGAACATGTGTTATTTGTTTCAAGGGAGGTGGGGGTTAGGGCTTGGTGCTGACACTCACCGGTGTCCAGGCTACTTGAGCTGAGGTGGGAGAGCACTGCTAAGGACCAGAAATGGTGTGTGTGTGTGTGTGTGTGTGTGTGTGTGTGTGTGTGTGTGCGTAAGGGGGGGAGAGGGAGGAGAAGGAAAAGATTAAAAATAACTGCTCCAGTGCGGACTTGCCGGTGTTGAAGCCAAGGCTGAGTGGATTCCTGATCTCTCCCGTTCTTCATGCTGAGGGGTTGTTCAGCTCTTCGGTTACTAAGATTGCCCCCAGACCTCAGACCAGCTACATGGACCCCGTGATGAAGCATTTCCCCATCTTCCTTCCCACTGTCCATCCCTTGGTCCTAGGGATGGAACTCCCTTGCACAAACTAGGCAATGCTCCCACACTGAACTACACCCCAGACTCCTTCCCACAAATATTACCAAGTGCCAATGCTCAGTAAGAGAGGTCTCCGCCTTGCAGGCCAGAAAGATGGGTGAGTTGGAGGTAAAGTGTGATCAGGGTCTTGGGAGGGAGGCCCAGGGCAGGTGGCTGTGGCCTGGGAAGCAATCACTGCAAATGTTCTCTGCAATGGTCGCTATGCTCCGGGAGCACGTGCCTTCAGAGTTCAGATGATATGAGTGAGAGGAAGTAAGCGACATATTCATGCTTTGTGTAAGTTCAAATGAATTTTGTTTTCAGAATTAAAGGCACAGAACCAGAAACGGTTCCGCGATTCATTATTTGTGTTTATTCTAAAGGATGTGAGATTATTTTAGTTATAAACCAGGGTGACAGCTTACGGGAAAATTTAGCATTCAACAAAGTGAGAGGTTTGCTTTGCAAGCAACAGAGCAAGAATCCAGACTTCTCCCTCTGCAGCTAAGAAATATGTCATTTTTACTTGAGCGTTCCAGGCCCCAGCTGTTTCTGGCTCCTAGGCCAGAGGCGGCCATGTGGCGTGTTGCACAAGTGACCAAACAGAACCCCAGACCAAAGCATGACAGAGCTGGCTGCACAATGAGGAGAGCTAGAATTTACTGGAAGCTTTTTATTATGGTCAGATGTTTCCTGTGTCTGGTTTCTGAAGCAGAATATAGGGAATATGGAGGGCGTAAGGAGGATGCAGCTGGTTTTCTTAGTTTGGGGCCAGGCTTCGAATGCCCCAGGCATGCGTAAATGAGCCGTACACTGCGGTGCCCCGCCTGTCACCCTATACATTCCACACATCGAGATCTTCTGCTATCCAGCCTCTGCAAGCTTCAGGAATGTAAGAACGGGGAGAAAACAGATCGTTTCCAAGCAAACAGGTAAAATGCAAACAGATAAAACTAACATGTCACTGTGACAAGGACAGAAAAGAGAGCAATATGAGAGATTCCACGGCTCTGTAATACAGAAATATTAACTACTGCGCGTCAGACATAATAGGAACACCAGCAAGCAGACAACAGTAAGAACAGGGGTGTCCCCATTCTCAAGAAATCCACACATTAGTTGTGGTGGTGGTGGCGAAATACCATCTAAATAAATGAGCAAAATCATTTCTGACAGAGGGAGCTGGTGTGAAGAATATGGTGTCGAAAGGGGGGGAGGAGCAGACATGATCCACAGCGTGTTTGCGGCGTGTGGGCTGAGACCTGAAGACAGGAACCAAGGCAGGGAAGGGCTACCAGGGAGCCCAGGGAGAGCAGAGCTGGAGGCTCCCCACACTCGAGGGAGAGAGGAGGGCTGGAGCAGAGGAAGCAGGAAGGTGGGGCGTGCTGAAAAAGACAATGGACTCATGGAGAGATGTCTGTGCTCCATTCAAGAGCAGCAAAGAAGTCTTCTAGAATCTTCCTATTAAAAAAAAATTCAAATGTTCAAGATTTTTTTGTTGTTTTTGTTTTTTTCTTCTTCTTTTTTTTTTTTTTTTTTTTTTTTTGAGACGGGGCATCTTTGCGTAGCCATGGCTGTCCTAGAATGCACTCTGTAGACCAGGCTGACCTCAAACTCAGAGATTCACCTGCCTCTGCTTCCCACGTGCTGGGATTAAAGGCATTTGCTACCACCGCGGGGCTTTAAGTATTTTTTAAAAGATTTACTTATTTTCATTTAATGTGCATGAATATTTTGCCTCTGTGTGGACCACACAGGTCCCCAATGCCCATGGAGGCCAGGAGAAGGCAACAGATCCCTTAGAACTGGGGTTACAGCTGGTTGTGAGCCAACATGTGGGAGCTGGGAACTGAACCTGGGTCCTCTGCAAGAGCAGCAAGCGTTCTTGACTGCTGAGCCGTCTCTCCAGCCGTGTGTGGGTGTTTTGACTTCATACAGGTCTGTGCACCACTTGAGCGCCTGGTAGCCATGGAGGCCAGAAAAGAATGTTGGATCCCCTGGAGTTGGAGTCACAGATGGTTGTGAGCCACCATGCGGGTTCTGGGGATGGAAGCCAGGTCCTCTGGTAAAGCATGCAGTGCCCTTAACCACTGAGACAACTCTCCAGGCCCCAGGAAGCCTTTGAGAACCAACCAAGTAGGCTAGGCAGGACAGAGGGGTGTGTGCCAGTGGTAGAGTGCCTGACCAGAGTTCAATCTTGACATCCCCCAAAACAGAACAAACAGAAGCTTCCAAAAAAAAAATAGCCTAAAGGGTTCTGGTTTGCATTCTCAAATATAAACTTTGACTGCTTCATAGGAACTGAGCTGATTACCCTGCCAACAGAGTAGAAGGTAGACCAGGAGAGGGAGACTGAGGCCGGGAGATGGACACGGAGGAGGTATAACACTACAGATGAGAAGGGACAGTGTGAGAATGGGGGGGGTGGGGAAGGTGCTAGAGGCTCTTAAAGGGAAAACCCCAGGGTTTGCAACTAACAGAACAGGAATGGAAAAAAAAGAAAGACAGAAGATCACATCAGGCTTGTGCAAACTGATGCAAATTGATGCTGATTTCTCTGTGATTGACAGTGGCCTTTTGATGGACCACTGAGGTGGCCTGATTACAGGAAGGCTAGCCACTCCATGATGGTCTATCAGGGAAGCAGATGCGAGCTGCCTTCTGGAGACAGGCACTGACAAGCACGCAGTATTGGGGGGCTGTAGCAATCATAACAAAGAAGAGGGGAGGCTGGGGGGGCACAGGCCAGGCTAGGTACTTAGTCCTGCAGCCCAGACTCATGGTACAACAGTGAAGAACCACGGAGAGCATCACAAAGGCACTTAAAGATAAGCCTTTGATTCAAAATGTTCTCTCAGTTCCTATGGCAATCAGCTATGACTGGACCATCCTTCCTCAAGGCCCTGGGGCTTGGCTTTCCTCAGTTCTCACGAAGTCTGGCCTGCCATTGGCAGTCACCAATTCCTGTCTCCTGCTACTCCTTTAGGCCATGAACTTTCATGTTCTGAGCTCTTCCCTGCCCTCTTGATGGCTGGTGTAAAAGCACACTTGTCACCCATCACAATACATTCATGATCTGACTCAAACGAAGCAGAGGACAACTTAGACGATGGGTCTGAGCTGTTGTCACCAACAGGCTCTACAAAGAGCCTTCAACTTGGCTGGGGATGGCTGGTGTTAGTGGTCTTGTTTATTTTTTGAGACAGGGTTTCATGTATCCCAGGCTGGCTTTGAACTTAATATGTATTAGAGGATGACCTTGAACTTCTGACCCTTCTGTCTCCCAGTGCTGAGATTACAGGTGTTCTCCACTGTGCCTGGCTTTATAGAGTGACAGGAATCGAACCCAGGGCTTCCTGCATGATAGGCAAGCACTCTCCCAACTGTGCTACAGCCTCAACCAGAGATATTTTAACAACCACACAGCCACCTGTTTCTTCTCCAGTTCCCCAGTGCTTAGATGCTGGAATGATCAAGTTCCCTAACCCTAGTCCCTCAACTCCTTCCTCTCAACCCCAACCGCACCCCGCCCCCGGGAAAACAAACAAACTTGAATAAATGGAAAGGGAAAATGTCTGAGGAGAGTGAGCCAGGAGAGATGAGAACTGATAACGAGAAGGGTGTCCAGACATGGCGCACAGACGGTGGCCTGATTGGAAAGACAGGAGGGAGCGGCCCTGACTTCAGTGGCTCAGGTTCTGTCCAATGATCTAGGTCAGTTTCAAGGGCTCGGCTGACAGTGGAGACTACTGAAGCAGTAAACTTCTCCAAGAAAGTTTCCTTGGAGTTTGTTAATTTAACTTACCAAGCATGTGCTCCAGAGGCTTCGCCAAGGTCAAGAACGGTACAAAGGCTCGTGGAATGCTTAGTGGATAAAATGTTTGCCAAACAAGTGTGAGAACTGGAGTTCGAATCCCCAGAACCCAGGTAAAATCTCAGGAGGCAGAGAACTGGGGATCTCCCAGACAAGCTGGTTAGCTCGACTAGTCAAAACTGGCAACCCAGTAATACAAAGTGATTGAAGACACCTGACACAACTTAGGGCTTCCACGTGCATGTGTACATGCGTGTATCTACCCACATGCAAACAATCACACACATGGACACACACGAGGCACACACATGCACACATGCACACACAAACACATGGGGGCTACAGAAAGATCTAACATGGTCCCTGAAATCAAAGAACGCCCAAACTATTCCATATCACAGAATCAACTAACAGTGTTACAAGTCTTGAGAGTTACGGCAGGAGCTCAGGTCTAGGGTTTTCACTGGGAGCAGTTAGGAAGATGTGGGGGGACAGGCACCTGAGTCCGGCGTGAGGCGACCAGGCCACAGTGGTCTGGTGGGAATGAGGGAGGGCACTGAGGCATGGGAGAGGCGTGTGAGGTGCCAGGAGGGTATGTTCATCCTTAATTAATATGTTAGGGTTTCTTCCAGGTGCTAAGAATGCTGTGACTAAAGGAACCAGCCAATACAATGATTAAAGTTTTTTTCTTAAGGCTTTAACACATCAAAGACTATTTTTAAAAGGTGAGTCACCATGAAATTGAGGGGGGAAACCTGCTATGTCATACCAGGAGACAAAAGATACTTGGCTTAAGATCGGGGCAGGACAGTCCCTGGGGCATCAGCACACACAAGGAGAGGAGGAAGTCTGGGAGGAGCTGGCCCTCTACCAACTGCTGTCCTCCGAGTCTGGGGACGGGGGTGGGGGGGTGGTGCTGCTTATACACCTGGCGAGAAGAAGCAGCTGGAAAGAGAATGGATGCAGGCACGCACTACAACAGAGTGAAACCCTAGAAGTGAGCCTCGGGGCGTCAGGGGCATGGGAAAGGTCAGTGTGCCTGCCCTAGGGAGAAGCGGGTGACGGGATCGCAGACCGGTAAACCCCGAGTCGGCTAGGGCCCAGTGCAGGTGGAGGTGAGTGAGCAGTCCTCACACTGAGTCTCAATGGAAGGCAGCCAAGAGCACGAGTGAGGGGCAGAGGGGCAGGGGCCGGGGATGACGGAGTCGTTCTGCTGCTGGTAGGTCCCAGCCTGGCCACAAAGGAAGGTCTGGATGGGTCACTGAGGGGACAGAGGGCAGAGACATGGACCTGAAGCTGTCTGATGGCAAGACATGGCCCGTAAGGTGCCAGCATCGAGGCAGACATCAAGTTTACCTAGGTTCTGCTCCCCTCACCCCCCTCACTATGGCTCTGCTCCCCTCACCCCTCTCACTATGGCTCTGCTCCCCTCACCCCCCTCACTATGGTTCTGCTCCCCTCACCCCCCTCACTATGGCTCTGCTCCCCTCACCCCCTCACTATGGCTCTGCTCCCCTCACCCCTTCTCACTATGGCTCTGCTCCCCTCACCCCTTCTCACTATGGCTCTGCTCCCCTCACCCCTTCTCACTATGGCTCTGCTCCCCTCACCCCCCTCACTATGGCTCTGCTCCCCTCACCCCTTCTCACTATGGCTCTGCTCCCCTCACCCCTTCTCACTATGGCTCTGCTCCCCTCACCCCTTCTCACTATGGCTCTGCTCCCCTCACCCCTTCTCACTATGGCTCTGCTCCCCTCACCCCTCTCACTATGGCTTTGGAGCTGACTCCTCCTGTATAAAGAGGGTAGAATGAGAGCTGCGTCTCACCTGAAAGCCAACAGTCCCAGGTCTTGTCCTTTGCTGTGTGTGCTGTGTGTTAGTGTGCATGCATGCATGCGTGTGCTGTGTGTTAGTGTATGCGCATGCATGTGTGTGCTGTGTGTCAGAGTGTGTGCATGCATGTGTGTGCACATGAATGTAGAGGCCAGAAGACAACCTTCCATGCTGCATTCCTTAGGTGTCACTTGTCCTTTTTTGTTTTGGGTTTTTTTTTTTTTTTTTTGCTTTTTCTGTTTGTGTTTTGACAAGAGTATATCACAGACTGTAACTTGCCAACAAGGCCAGGCTGCCAGTCTAGCAAGTTCCAGGGACAGGCCTATCTCAGCCTCCCTCTCCTCCTCCTTTTATACAGGTCTAGGGATCATATTCAAGTCCCTCATGCGTGCTAGCCAAGTCTGTTACTGAGTTATCTCTCCAGCCCATGACAGGGTTTCAAGTTTTAGAACATCTATATGCTGCACAGATCAGACAGCACCGTGAGGCTTCCAGGCAGCATGTGGCAACGAGAGGCTTCTGCTGTGAAATGTACACTAATGGGAGGGATATAAATATATCCACATTACTTCAGATCAGATTTGCAGACAAGTGACTTTTTATACTTATCTCATGCAAAAACACAAAAAACTGCTCAGCGGGTAGAGGCACTTGCTTCCAAGCCTGATGACCCGAGCTCAGTCCCCAGGGCCTGCATGTGGGAGAAGACAGCCGGCTTCTGAAAGTTGTCCTCTGACCACTCCGCCTCCCCACAAACACATACATGTGCATACACACACATGTTCTCGCACACTCATGAGAGCATGTAAGTACATGCACACACAAGCATACACATACACAAGCACACACAGAAGCATTCACACATGAGCACACACACACACACACACAAGGACACACACACATGTATGGAAAATAAATAAAATGCAATTTAAAAAAAGATGAGTTTTAAAGTTTGTACCATGATGGAGGGACCGTCTACGAAAGTGGGACTTTGGTGGCACCTGCTTGTGAGGCGCATCAAGAACCTCGTGTGGTGGGAGGCCTCAGGGCACGTGCTGCTGACAATTCTGTCATCCCCTTTGTCATCACTATCATCACAAGGTGGCCTTACTGACAGGAACAGGGCAGTGATACACAGAGGAGAGAGGAGGGAGGACAAGGGGAGAGGGTGGCAGGAAAGGAGGCCAGGGTGTGGCTCTGAAGGCTGTCAGGAGTCTGCATTTTACCAACTGCAAGTCAAGAGGCAGGGAAAGGAACTACAGATTTTTTTTTAGTAAGTCGATGATGTCAACAGACTTTTGCTGCAAGAAAACCAGTGTAATTGTGTGTAAGAGACAGAACAAATGCATGTAGGCAGGCATGCTAGGCAGGTATTCTAGCAAACCATGTGAGGGGTAAGGAGGATCTAGCATGGTGCTGAGGTGGAGGGGTGTGGTGCAGGGGATGACATGGGAAAGGGGAAATGGGAGGATCCCATGGGCAAGGATAACTGGAACCGGAAAGGGAGGATTAGACGTGGGGAGATGAGGACCCAGGGCAACTGGAACCAGAAAGGGAGGATTAGACGTGGGGAGGTGAGGACCCAGAGTAACTGGAACCGGAAAGGGAGGATTGGACGTGGGGAGGTGAGGACCCAGGGAAACCGGAACCGCAGAGTGTCTAGAGCAGACAACTGGCGACAATGCTAAGCACAACAGAAGAAGGGGCAAGGCACAGCTTGAGAAGCTTCCCCTGGTGCTGTGGTTGAGCAGGGTTTGCCGTAACAGACCCGGCTAGGTCCCACTGCCCTTCTCTGCCCCAAGGAAGCACAGAGACGCTGTATTAATTACCAAGCTGTTAGCCAGTGACTTGGACTTCTTATTGGCTAGCTCTGTCTTAATTATTAACCCATAAATACTAATCCATGTATTTCCACGTGGTCTTATCTTACCAGGGAATGCCAAACCTGCAACTCCTCTGCCCACCACTTGATGACTGCTCAGCGTCTCCCGCAGAGAGGAGAGCGATTTCCTGTTTGTCCCCGCTTATATCCTGATTCTGCCCAGCTACATCACTTCCTGTCTGGCCAATCTGTGTTTTATTCATTAACCAGTAAGAGAAACATATATACAGAAGAACATTCTCCATCAGTTTGCTCCCTCTGAAGCGCAGGCTGGAGTTTAATCCCCACTGTGAGGTACTAGAGGGGGTGGGAATTTAATGCTACTATAGCAGTAGAGCCACTGGGAGGTGATAAGGGTTAGTGGAGGCCACCAGGATGCAGTCCTTGTGAATGGCTGGTGGCCTTTTAAGAACAGAGGTGCTAAGGCATCACTCATGCATAAACTCCCATCATGCAACCCCTGCACAGCTTCGTGCCGTCTCATCTGACATGGACCCTTGACCCTGGACCAGGATCAGAAGTCCAAAAAAGCCTCCTCATTTTATCGTTTACTCATTCTGTGGTGGTAAGTTCATAGCCAAGAGAAAATGAAGCTAAACACCTGTACCTGGCAGTTAGCCAATCTGTGATCTCGAGAGCGGGTGTAAGTTAGTCAGGGTGGAGGTCACACAACCTCAAATGCCATGGAGGCAAAATGAAGAGTGTGGACGGCCCGTCTGGATTGTCTATCTGGTGGATTAAGACACACTAAGGAGACAATTGAAATGTGGTGGTATATTATTTATGATTTATTAAAGCTTGCCTGAGGATTCAGAAAGCAAAGTCAGTCACAGGCCACAGAAACCAGGCACACACTTTAATCCCAGCAGCCAGAAGCTAGGACTCAGGATTAAGAGGTAGATGGATTTCTCTTGAGTTCAAGGCCACCCAGGGATTCATGAGATTGAATCAGTCTAAAAGAGTAACAGATCCCAGCACTAGAGGGGTATAAAAGACAGACGCAGGGTCTTCAGTAGTCAGCATCAGGCACTGATTCTCCAGTCACACCGAGGATAGGAGCATTCATTCTCTACCCACGCCGAGGAGAGATTACAGTCTGGGGCTTGGTGAGAGCTCATGGAAATGGGAGCAGTCTATTTCAGACGGAACTAGAGGTAGCTGCTTTGCTTTTCTGATATTCAGGTTGAACCCCAATATCAGCTACAGAGTCATTTCTTAATTCATGTTTCACTCTTCTAGGGGTGTCTGTGAAGGTGTCTATAGCAATCAGTAGATCGTGAGGACCCTGACCTGTGGATGGATTGACTCCTAGATGGCATCACAACATGATGGTGTCATTGGAAGGCTGGAAGAAGTAGGTCACTGGGACATGTCCTGGGGGCTACCTCTGGCCTTGGTCCTTCCCTGTATTTCCTTGCTTCCTGTCCATCATGAAGACACTCTTGAGCCCCACCCCCACCCCAAAGGTGTCCTTTCCTACAACGGGCCCATGAAGGCAAGGATGTAATTGTATCACTAGACCCAAGATAAATGATAAATGATAAATGGGTGCTTATTGGGGAACAATTACACAGAAAAATACAAAGAACCACTGGGGCATTTCCTGCTCTTCCTACCAGATCCACCAGAAAGAGCGTGCAAATGGAGGCCATGCCTCAAGCTCCTCTCTTTCTGCTTAAAGCCTTAAACCACACCCAAAGGCGTGTGGCCACTGTTACAGGTCCACAGACCAAATGCCTTACAGGTCTAGAAATATGAAACTGATTCGTGGACCAGATCCTCTGAAACCAGGAGCCAAAGTAGACCACTCGGCCATCCTGACACACCCAGGAGCCAAAGTAAATCCTTCCTTTTAAGTTGTTTGTGTCAGGCATGCTGTCCCAGAGACAATAACAGCAATTAATACATAAAATGAAATATGAATTCAGTAGCCAGATCTTTGGTGACAGTCACCATTCATTGCAGCTGGACCAACCGAAGGACTGGGGTAACCCACAAACTGCAGATGTTTAAGCACTGGGGCAGGAAAGTGCGGAGGAAGTTGTCTATACGTTTGACTATTGATAAAATCCCACTGGGTCCCTGCCAGGGAAGGAATCAATCACCCTGTTAAAAATGGCTTTCCATCAGGGTTGGAAATCTTTCTCTACAAATAGTCAGTAAATACTTTAAGCTTTGTTGGCTACATCAAGTCTCTGTGACATACCCCACGGATTTTGTTTATTTACACTGGGTTTTTTTTGCTTAAAGCCCTTAACATATAATGTCATTTTTAAGTGAGGCCATACAAAAGCAGGCTATGGACTGCATCTGGCACAGGAAAGAGTGTTTGCAGCCTCTTATTTACACTTCCTCCTAAGGATCTCTAAAATGACGAGTGAAAAAAACCCAAAAGTACACAAAATCAAAGAACAGGCGAGGAGACATCAGCACCCAAATTTGGAAGCTGGGGAGCAAGAGAAAAGCAGGACTCTGCAAACTAAGCCAGCCCTGCTCTAGAACAGGAGTCGATGCTGAATTGCTCTGCACAGTGCACCCAGAGCCCCCAGAGCCTTACTGGGAAGCACTGGGTACCACTGGAGAGAAAGTGCAGAGGTAAACAAGACACCAGCTCCTAAATATGAAGAGCTGACAGCCAAGACCATAGGGCATTAGAGGAAAGTCCCTCATATAAAGATGGGACGCTAAGACAAATGAAAACCAAAATGGAGCCACCACAGGGAGATAAAAACTTATAAAATAAGATATTGAATTTGTCAATTTAGAAATTTGACTCATGAGTCAAGTAGAAGACAATCACTTAAAGGGAACATCTAGGGGATGGAGAAATAGATCCATTTTTTGAGGACCTGAGTTCAATTCCCAACACCCACATGGGGTGACTTACAACTGCCTGTAACTACAGCTCTGTTAATACAGAGACCCATGACTTGTCAAAGTGCTGACTACACGTATCTCAGCTGTGTTAGTGTATGTATCAATCCAGGCCTGTCGGCACTTGGGGAATGTCACAGACTAGGAGTCAAAAAGAATATAAGAACTGTGAAATCCTGACTTCTGGACAGGCTGTGGATGCAGCACATATTACCTCACAGCAGCTGTAGTTAGCTTCACAAGAGCAAGCCAGTCAAAATTCTAGCACGGATGAGAGAGAGGTCTCTGAGGCCCCACCCCTGGAGGAGAGACTGACAATTGGTGACTGCTGAGGGAGAGAGAGTCACACTCCTTTGGGGACGTAGCTCACAGTAAGTTGCCATGCCTCAGTGGAAGGCCACAACCACATATGGGCAACACTAATTGGTCTCGGGAACTACAACAAAAAAGGAGCACGTGAAGTGGGGAGGTAAATGGGGTGGGTGGTACCAGGGGAAGTTGGAGGGACGTAGTGGTGGATGGATATACTGAAAACATATTGTATAACTGTACTTCTAAAGAATGAATAAGATTGTTTTTAAGAAGCTGAAAACAAAACCCTGAAAGTTACCCATAAGAGACTGAACAAGCTACAGTGATGGAGCTGGGGCTTTAGATCTAACTGACCGATTCCCTCACATGCACATAACCTACAGATGTATATCAACAAGGCCGGGGGAAGAAGGGGTCTGCTAGCAACCTAGATGTCTCCCATTTAATCACACCCAGATGAATGGCTTATCACATTATTTTTGTGATTGTTTTACTTGTTCAAATAGCACCTGTGAAAAGAGTGAACCTAGAATGACAGATGGGGCAGAAACGATGCTCAGGGGTTAAAAGCTGCTCCTGCAGAAGACTTAGATCCCCGGCACCCACACCAGGCAGTTCACAACTCCCTGTAGCTCCAGTGCTAGACTATCCAGTGCCCTCTGCTGGCCTTTACAGGTATTGCCCGTATGTGGTGCACACACAGAAAAGCAGGCACAAACCTTTACAAATCAAATTAAAACTTTAAAAAAATATATTAGAATAAAAGATAATCCAAAGGCAAAACAGTCAAATATTTGGACCCAGCTCCAAAGTGCTATGGAAAGAAATTTGTAAGAAAATAGGATTATTCAAATAAGGATCGGATATTAGACATTAAGAAATTACTATAGATGTAAGATAGTAACATGATTGCTTTATTTTTTAAGTTTTGAACATATTTTATTATTTTATGTGTATCAGTCTTTTGCCTACATGTATTTTTGTCTGTGCATTGTGTACGTGTGTCTGGTGCCCATAAAGGCCAGAAGAGGGCATCAGATCCTGTAGAACCCGAGTTACAGAAGGCTGTGAGCTACCATGTGGGTGCTGGGAGTCAAACCTGGGTCTTCTGGAAGAGCAGCCAGTGCTCTTAATTTGTGAGCCATCTCCCTAGTCCCTGACTACTTTATTTTAAAGAGTTGTATGTGTTAGAGGTTCGCTCTTTGTGATTATGACAAGCTTCCCAGCATTATTATTATTTTTTTTTTTTTTGGTTTTTATGAGGCAGGGTTTCTCTGTATTGTTTTTGAGGCTATCGATCCAGCCCGGCCTCGAACTCACAGAGCTTCCCAGCATTTGTTTTAAAATCCAAGTAATAGAATGATACCGATGTCTGCAAGAGTAAGGTCTGTATACGCATGCACCAGGGCCCCTTGGATGGGCAAGATGCTGAAGTCTCTGCCTTATGACATTCCATCCTCCATCTGGGAGAAAGGTGCCCTTGACAGACGTTAAAGGGGCATAGTACCACTTCATCCTCAACAGAGACCAGATAAAAAATGAACAAAAGGAAAGGTGCTTGACAAGGTTTTTACTTTTTTCTACGAAATCTTGAATGCCTACTAATTTATAACATTTCCACTTAAAAAAGGGGTGATACACAGCTCCCAGTGGCTCAGCCGAGAGCTAAAAAGTATCAACAGGTGGTGATCACTGTCTGTCATCTTAAGTGTCCAGAGTGGGAGGCAAGGGGAGACACAGCCCCTCATCCACTGCAGGTGATGATATAAAATGATGTATCAGATTTGGGAGCCAGCCCAGAGAGTTCCTCAGTTGGTGTTGTGGCCATTTTTGTTTATCAACTTGACTGCATCTGGAATTAACTAAAACCCCAAAAAGTGGCTGGCGGCACCTGTGAGGGATTTTTTTTTCTTAATTAAGTCATTTGAAGTGGGAAGACCCACTTTTAATCTGGATCTTTTGAGGTGTGAGGACACGGCACTTCTGGTCACGGCACACAAAGGGCATGGAAGAAGGTGCCTGACTCTACACCTTCACTGGCATTTGAGGATACTTCTTTGGGATTCTGGTATACGCTGAAGACCAGCTGAGATATCTGCCTTACAGACTGAACAACTACTGGAATCTTAGACCCTCCGTTGGTAGACTCTAGTGTTGGACTAGTGGGCCACAGCTTGTAAGCCAGCAATTCTCAACCAGTGGGCCAGGCAAATCTCTTATCTCCAAATACCATTCATAACAGTAGCAAAATTACAGTTACAAAGTGGCAACTAAAATAATTTTATGGTTGGGGGTCACCACAACATGAGGAACTGTATTAAAGGATTGCAATATTAGGAAGGTTGAGAATCACTGCTATAAGCCACTTTAATAAATCCCCTCCTATATATGAATAGACTCATTTTATAAGTCCTATTCCTCCAGAGAACACTGACTAATGCAGTTGGTTAAACATGGTTATCAAATGACTCAGTAATTCTACTGTTAGGCATAAACCAAGACAAATGGGAATGTTGCGCACACATAAAAACTTATACATGATCTGGGCAGAAGCCGGGCAGGCAGTGGTGGTGCACGCCTTTAGTCCCAGCATTCTGGAGGCAGAGGCAGGCGGATCTTTATGAGTTCAAGACCAGCCTGGTCTACAAGAGCTAGTTCCAGGACAGCCTCCAAAGCCACAGAGAAACCCTGTCTCGAAAAACAAAAAACAAACAAACAAAAAACCAAACATGAGCTAGGCCGTGGTGGCACACACCTTTAATTCCAGCACTCGGGAGACAGAAGCAGGTGGATTTCTGTGAATTCAAGGCCATCCTGGTCTACAGAGTAAGTTCCAGGACAGCCATGGCTATACAGAGAAACTCTGTCTCAAAATACACAATGCCCATAATATTCACAGCAGTATTATTTCTAATGATCAAAATGGAAGAACCTAAATATCCATTAATGCATCTTTGGATAAGTAAAATGTCATCATCACCCTATTAAAAGTATCACAGCCACAAAAGGAATGAAGTACTTGTTGATATCCTGGCATCATGCTGACCACGCCCCCTGACAACTGGCATTCAGGCAGATGTTTAGACAGCTCAAAGGGTCCTGTTAGAGTTACAGGAGGTTGTGAGCACTCAACATGGATCTCAGGTCCTCCCCAAGAATAAAAATTGCTCTTAACCACCAAGCCACCTCCCCAGCCCCCTCAAGTCCATCTGATTTCTTTTTTTTTTTGAGGCAGGGTTTCTCTGTATTGTTTTGGAGGCTGTCCTGGAACTCGCTCGGTAGACCAGGCTGGCCTCGAACTCACAGAGATCCGCCTGCCTCTGCTTCCCGAGTGCTGGGATTAAAGGTGTGCGCCACCA